CCGTGGGCTAACGCGTTCACTACCACACCATGCCAGTCCTTCGTTTCACCTTTCTCATAGCCGCTGTTCTTTCAGTTTAACCGCATAAATATTAATACCTTGCATTAAGGATAGATGTGCTTGTAAGTGTTCAGGCATTTTTTTCTAGGAGTGTTTTTTTTCTCAATTTTCTTCTTTGTTAAATGTGCTATCTACCCTCGCTTATCTCCAAACTTCGATTTTTTTTCGAATGTTCTTGGCTCTTTAAGATATTTCACTAATTAGATGGAATGGGGACCTGATACATGGCGGCCGTATGGACAGTGGGCGAGCGAAACACCTTTGAGGAATACATCATGGAGAATGAGCCATGACAGTCTGCGTTCGCCGTATTTCCCTTCAAGGTTTGTGCAGTTTTATAAAAGTATTATCATTTTCTCCATTGTTATATCACAATCCAGAGGGCGGATAGCACAGTGGTAGTAATGCCGATCATCGAAAGCATGGTGCTGGTTCGATCCCGCTCCAGATTCACCAAGCCTGTCATCCCTCCGAGGTCAGGAAATTGGTACTGGACATGTCCGGGAAAAAATCACTCTCTATAATTCGATGTTTTAAGCAACGGGGTAGAAAGTGGGTCTTTTGTCGCATTAAGACGATTTTCTGTCTTAATGACAATTCGTCTCTCATAAGTCGGAAATGTTTTGCTGGAACATATCTTGATAATTCTTCGTATTCTTTATTTATGTGATCTTATAAACTGATCCTCCTAAGCAGACGTGAGGTTGGTACAGATTTCGTTGTCGTTGTCGTTGTTTTTGACATTATTGATCGATGGCTGACGTTTCGGCGACTTCGTCTTCCTCAGAGCCTGGACGTATTTTATGTCAGAATACTTTTTATTATTCGATGGAAAAAAGGTTAAAGTGTTAATGAAGATCAAACTTTCAAATAGACGCCATATTGAACAGAAAGGCCAATCACCGTGATGTTACGTACAGGACTGGCCCACGCGTTGTTTTCGTGGAGTCGCGAGCAAGACACACCCGGGGTCAAAATACCATTTTGAAATAGGACGCCAGATCACGCGTGATATTGAGGCATTCGTCCTTCCGGTTCATCTTTGGATTTTTGAAATTTATCCAAAACGCCTCAAGAGTTTTGCGCGTTGATGTTTTCGATTCCTGCGCTAGGATCCGCACATTCAGTTCAAAATCATCGCCGTTGTGCTTTTGTGCCCTATGCGTACCTAGAGGAGTGTTTAGACGGACTTTAGCCTTTCCATCCAGATGTTCTTTTATGCGAACACAAACTGGTCTACACGTTTCCCCAATATATTCCTCGCCCCTTGCGTTACATGTGATCAAGTATATTATACCTAAACTCATGCAATCCCCGTCTCTCCCGTTAGGACAGATCATACAGTTTTCTGAGCTGCACAAACGATCATAGAGACGGTTTCGAACAAACTGGCGGCGTAGGGTATTGGGTGGGATATCAATAATCGTTACATAATTTTCGAGACCACTTTTTCTCGAGCACTTTTTAATGGCGTGACTTACTTCATTTGATATGAAAGGCAGCTTAAAGGGGATCTTACTTTCGTCTGAAATATTATTTTGGGAAACTACCCAACGTTTTCCTCTAACCCGAGTGACTTCTACTTCGTAGCCATTGGAAATGGCAGTTTTTCGTGCCAGGTTTCGCGATTCCTTCCTTTCCTCTTCTCCTGTACACACATTTTTAGCCGTAGGATACATATTTTTGATAAGTGCTTTTTTCATGTATGAAGGATGAGAGGAGAGGCAGTGAACTAGAATGTTTTTACTACTTGGCTTGCGATACCATTTTGTTACATAGGCACTTACTGAGAGCTTTATTTGGTTGTTTAAGAATGGAAGCCAGTTCTCGGTAGGTTTTTCTCGTGTAAATTTTATATACTCTGACTGTCGGTTTAATAATTCAAAGCACTCATCCATCTGTTCTTGTGTGGAACAGACGATGAAGCAGCCGTCTATGTATCGACAGTAGAGTAAGGGTCGGTGATCGAGAACTGGAGCTTCCACTTTAGACATGAAGGCGATGGCAAGGTTTGGTGCTATCGTATTCTTGTTGAGCAAACACGAGGTGCTATTTTAATTCTTTATTTACGCACAAGTTGACGTGTCGGCGGATTTCGCCTTCCTCAGAGCCTGGAAGGGTCAAGTTGACAGCAATCCATTCAACCAAATACCTCCATACCCAAACAGAGATCTTATTTATTTATATGATCTTATAAAATCTTCTTTAGCTGATGCGAGGTTGGTATAGATCTTCGTTGTCGTTGTCGTTGTTGGTGGCGAAGACCTATACCAACCTCACATAAGCTAAAGAAGATCAGTTTATAAGATCATATAAATAAATATATCTCTCTCTATAGTTCAGTTGGGAACGCTCCACTCTGGCTATCCCAGGACTTTAGGGAGAATCCACTCGACCAATATTCTACTACATTCAAGATGAAAGGAAAATCCTCAAGCAGCAGCCGAAGCCACACGTAAAAGTTGGAAGACCATAGTGGGTGATGGATGTGTGGAAACGAATCGGATGTGATAAGTGCTGGGATCCGCTCACCAGACGCGAGAACGGGTCGCATAAAATAAAATAAAAAAATATCACGATCCTCTTAATAGCTGCTATTACTCCTTAATGTTCCAAATAGTCGTTTCACCTCTTCGAAATTGTTATTTTTTCTCTCGATATATAGACATTCGCACCGATTTGCTGCCTAATCTTGGCTGGTAGGTGTTCCTGGGTGTCAGGCTGCGATGTACAGTGGAAGGGTTCATCCCTTTGGCACGTTCCCCAAGCTGAGGAGTCCGGCGTGTCCTTCGGGAAGCCTAGCTAAGTGTAAACAAGTACCAGAGTTCATCACCGTCCGGTATAAATTTCGTCGCATGGTGGTAAATCTTCCTCCGATCTACAAGTGCGGCGACCGCCTTTGGTGGTGACGACCTTGGGCGGACTTTAACCTGGCTGACCTCGGGGCATGGAGAACCACAATGGATAAATTAGCAAAACTCCGAGACAGAGGAGATTATACTGTGGCCTGCACAACCAATGAAGACGGACCATACAAATTTCGAAGTTTCCAAGATGCATAAACAGGTTTCCGTGGAGGTTAGCTGTTCTCGTCTCTAATCAAACGTAGTATATATATATATATATATATATATATATATATATATATTGAGCTAGTGGTAGAAGTCATAATGCTGTTGAAAATCAAAGCCGACATGTAATACGGATACATGTTGTATTAGTTTTATTAATTATATACCTCATTTTAGATGGGTTTCACTCAAGAATGATACACCTTCAGAAACTCGAAAGAAATATGCTCAATATTGTGGAAATTTGAAAATCCATCTTGAAGTTGAGTAAGTTTGTATTCGCAGGAACGGTTTCGAACTGCCAAAGGCTTTTTATCCCTGTACAAATGCGCGTATTTCTTATATAAATAATCGTTCTCTCAGTACTCCTCGTCCAGGTGAGCTTAGTTTCTACATATATTAGAGAGTATGCGTTCTACGAAATATTATTGTGAAAGCCGAAACGAAGCACACCCATAATGATGGTGAACACGTTCGCCCCTGGAAAGGGTAATAACGAGGTTTGATCCCGCCGCAGACACCTGCGTTCCTGAATTTTGTAAATGTCTCAACATTATTGTTGTTGTGTTATTCTTTTCCCTGAAGAGCTAAGAATTCATTGAGTATAAGTTGTTTTCCTTCCTCATGCAAGAGTCTTTCGTTAAATGCTCTTCCAGATCTAGAATTTTAACCGATTTTTTGTCCTGGAAACGCCAACTTCGAATTCACGATTACTTTTGTTTCAGACACTCCGTACCATCACACCTTACGGTCGAATTTTCGGGAGGCTCGGACCATCATTAGTAGGGGCCTGTTTGCGGACTTTTCTGAAAGTTCTACTCCTGATCCACTAATACTCACTTGTGAAATAAGCGCTCAAAAAGTGGATATCAGCTGGATACCTCCAACTCATGGAAGTGCGTTCTGAAGATTCTACAAAGTAGTGTATTCGTTAGGACTTTATCGTTCCTCTTTTAGACCTCCGTGCAGAAGACTTTATTCCTAAAATTTAGCTCGATAGAGTTCTTACGAGTTCTCATTTAGTGAACGTTAACTACTGTTCTATGGCTGTACTGTCACATCACCTTATTTTTTCGTTTACAGCTTTTTTAAGCCATTTTTTTTAAAACGTCGCAATCGCAATGACGTCACTTTTTATTCACTGCCTATTCTTTTTAGTGAAAGTGTATTATGTGACGTATAACGAAATAAAAAGTGAGGATATTGTGATGTATACCAAAGCTTCAGCTGAACTGAGTTCAGTGCCGGTTTGTGCTCCTCAGATTAATCCTGTTGACGGGTGACTGCTGATAGCACCTGTTAGTCAATAACACGACTGAGAGAAAGGCGAAACGAGGGACTTGCATGATGTGGTGATGAATGCGTTAGACCTCGGAAACGGTAATAACGTGTTCGGTCCTCACCGCAGACACCAGCGGCCTGGAGTTTTGCAAATATCTCAGCATTATTATAGTTATATGTTGCGTCATATTTCTATTAACATCACCAAGTGGCAGAGATGTAATCGTTGTCATTCGATCCTTACAGAAGAGGTTCGGTACCTACTGGAGTGCACAGATAAGGAGTCTGGTCGAAAGTGGGTTTTTGACCAGTCATGGGCTCAAACCCAGAGGGAATTGAGAACAACACCAGGCAACACATACTGGTAACTGTTCGCGGTTTACTACTTTCTCTTTCTCTTATTTTCGTGTTAACTGAATATTTTCCTTTCCGTATTCGTCTACAATGCGAAAGGATCATCGATCATAGTGTCATTGCTGCTGTTTATAGGGAAATCAAAGCCGGTTTGACATTGTTATTTTTGCTTTCTTCTGCCTTCGATTATTCAATTGAGGAAATTTTTGTTTTTCAGTGTTCAGCTATGATGAAATGACACGTATGTATCAAAAATGTGTAGATTTTGTAGGAACACAGATGCATCCATTTGAAGTTTTGTACAGGTAGATTTCATATCTCGTCTTGTAGCATTCTTCAAGTAGTTGATGCCATTCCTGCTCAGAAATAGGAAAAGCTAGTGCAGGTGTTTGTATTGGAAGGTTAGCCCACATTTGTACTGTTTGGAAGATAGTGGGTTCTATATGCGACATTCTGGAGACGATTTGGTTCGGTAGAGACATATACGCAGAATAGATTCTCCTTTCTGAATGATGTATGATTAAATCAAGGTGTAAACCACGTGAGTACTGGGACGAGATTCATCATTGTCACGATGGTCTAATGGAAAAGTACATTAAAGACAATAACGGGCAACCAGCAAACAGGATCAATGGCGTCATATCAGGTACTAGTCATATATGTCTTTTCTAATCATCACGTGGTTTATGATTTTGAGATCAGCTCATGTAATCGTTTCAACAATGTGGGAACTATGATTGGTGGTCCTGTGCATAGGTTTTTCGATACTTTACTTATTGGATACTTTGATGACCCGTCTTCACTGTTTCTGCGAGCGCCAGCAAAATTTTCAGTCGTTTTTTTCTTCTTCGCAGTCATCATCTATGGTGGTAGCCTGCTGACATGGTGACGTCCACGAGGCCCATTCCGTAACACTGAAATCGTTGCCATCTGCGAGTGCAAAGGGTTGACGTTAGCTTCGAACGCGTCCGCCCACCGTTGGGGTGGCCCTCCAAGAGCACGCTTGCATTCTCTTGAAGTCTATTCCACTCTGCTTTTCATCCACTTTTGATCTGTTCTTCTTATTATGTGATCGACCCATTTGTTTCTCAATTGATGCGTATTCTCATGAATCCCGAAAGTGGATAGGTTCTGACGATCTGGGCTGCACATTCCCGCTAGGTGTAAGTGCCGATTAAATTTCAGAAGACATCATTCAAGCGTTCGTAGGTGGTGCGCAGTATTCTTGACGTAATGGTGTCACCCCAATTCTGTGGTACTTAACAGAGCGCTGGGACTGTTAAATCGAAAATCTAAGCACTGAGTTTTGGGTGTTGGTAGTTTCTTTGAATAGCCCAAATTCAGCCCATGCTCCTCTCCTTCTTTCTTCTAGTGCTTACTCCGTGTTGTTCTGTATGCTTACTGAACGTCCAAGGTACATGTAGCAGGTGGTATATGACATCAAAAACCACCCAGTTTGACTTGTTCACCTTTGCCCCATGGGTCTGAACTGGGTCTTATCCTATTTATATGCAGTCAATTCTTTCCTCCTGCTTAGTTGAGTTCATTGGCTATCGTTTCTGCCTCACTGGTACCCTTCCAAAGATGACGATGTCACCGGCGAAACAAGGATTTGATGGGAATTTTCCATCAATACCTTCGTCCTACTCCTCCCAATCAAGTGACCTCCTTATGCACTACAATGTTCTGGCAAACAGCCTTGGCGATATTGTGTCGCCTTATCGAAACCCGTTCTCTATTGCTATTTCTATGGGGTCGATGAAAAACGCGTACATTTATGCTCCAGTTCCTACAGTAGTCTGGTGGTGTTCAAGTATTGGACTGGTCCACTCTTTGGTTGACAAGCATTTAATGCTAATCGCTGTGATCAATCATGGTTATTGCTTGGTATGTCTGGGTATAAAAACTACCCAAAAGGCTCAACATAAGCTGCAAAACCATTCCAAATTCTGACAGCAGTGTTTGTATGACGGACCGTAGTAACATTTAGTAGATAGAAGCACACATATCATACCCAGAGAACGTAAACTTTCTTTTACAGTTCTGCCATCTCCATGACCTCCACGTCGTCTGGTTATCGGAAATTTACTTTTTATTAGCAAAAAACCAGCATGTTCGTAAAAACTTAAAACTAAGCGTTCGCTAATAGACGGTTGGAGGAGCCACTGCAATACCCACGTAGAGTCAATTTCGCGCCCATGGCCCACCAAGCCTTCCAACTCTCCGGATTCGGCAAGTTGGTACCAGACTTGTCTGGGATGATAGCAGCACTAGCTCAATACATAGGAATATATCGGTAGGCCACCGCGAGTCATTGGAAAGGACAGATATGCATTCAATCACCTCCAAAGGATGCTTTATAAGGTCGAATGCATAGCGTATTTCTCAGAGATTGATCAACGCCGAGGACTTTATCCTTTATGACTACTGTCGATGTACAGGTTTCTTCCTTCATGTAGAAAACCATCGATGAACACAGAAAGAAAGAGACATGGTCGCTTTTACGGCAGCGCGCAACGGACGATGTGAGTCACATCTGGCTCGAACCGTGTCTGGTGAGAAGTCAGATGTCTTCTGATGCGGCAGCGATCAGATAGAATTCATATGGTCAAGAAGTTGTTAATTCCTTCTTTTTCCTGACGAAGTTAACCGGTGACTACTACTGCTGGTGAGTGCATAAATGGTTTGTGCGTGGTAGATGGAACACGTGCTCACCACGTGGTATTCGCTCTAGGATTGTAAGTATTATAAAATAAATAGAAACATAAAGGCAGTAATGTCATAGAGTGATAAAAAATGTAAAATAGAAGTAAAAAAGAATATAACTTTTCTCGGTCCACGAATGACAACATTTGTGGTGGTGCTGGTGTTATCGTTTGAACGGGAGAAGTAGAGTAGCTAAAAAAGTGTAAAAACGATTCATTGGAAGGAAAATCTATGGAGATGAAGCTCATTGGAAATAAAAAACTATATATATGATATATATATGCTTTTTATAGGTTTGTTTTTCTCTGCTCGTGTATATGCTGATGGCTCTCTGCCAACCCATTCACCCTTCGGAAATGTGCGCATGCTTGTCCCTCCCGGTGCTTTATTGGACCCATCCATTAACAACTTCTATTTCGCGGACTTCTACTGCAACTACTATACACATTATGTTACTGTTGTGATATGTCGGAAAGGATCGGAGACTGATAAGTATGCTTGTCATTTCGTTCTCTATCATAATTTTTAAGTTATTTATTCTTCAGTTATTGCTACATGAAACTTCACCAAATGAACCCAGCAGATAATCCTTTTCTTACGGTCAGTGCTGAGTTAATTCAAGTAGAAAAGTTGCATCTTTATGAACCACAGGCAAACTAGCGCATTGTTTCTAGGTGTCACCTCCTCGATATCCCCATTACTCACCCAGATACTACGTTAACAGTGGAGTATGGGTGGAGATCTATTATACAGAAGACATTCCACTATGGTTGGGACGTTTCGACAGCATTCAGACTACGGGTAATGTGTTTTTTTTCTTTTTTAGGAGTTACTCTACTGATTGTATGGTAATGTGTGCAAACTGAATGTATATGATGAGATGTCTGCACTTCTTAGACGAAGCATTTATAAACGTGGGCCAACAACTAACTTCGTTCATCACATTGTAGGTGCGGGGACGTCGAAAATTGGAGGTCTTCCTAACAATAAACATTGCGGTCGTTGTAATCTTTATCCGGTTCCTTATCCAAACGACGTTGTGGTTGTCGATGATGCACATGATGAAATAGGAGTGGCGGATATCACTGTAGCAGAAGATCCTCCTAACTCAACATTCCGCGTTCTTATGAATGAGGTGGGGCTTTGTGTTTAACCGCTTGAAGCATATCCTTCTTTCTATTCAGAGACCTTTTTCGTTTAAGCAGTTTTTCACGGGAGTTTTTTCGTTACCTTTTTTTAAGAATAAGTCAGAGCTCACCGAAGACTGGGAAGATGTGGTTGAAGTTATATGCAACATGGTAGATCAAGTATGTGAAGTGGACAAGGAGCGAGAAAAAGTAATTTTCTTCATTTCTTATCTGTTCTAATTGCAGCGTGTTGGAACTGTTTACCATTACCTTCTTCACCAGTTCCTCAATGTCTTGATATATTACGTACTTCAGTTCTTTGTCCTTCTTACTTGGATACTTGGACGGCCCATCCTTACTGGTTGTATTGCCTCCATCATAATCTCCATTTTGTTGGAGTTTTACTGTTTTAGTCATTGTGGTTTCCTGGAATCCCGAGGACAGCCTGGGCAAAGTCTGCTCCAGGTCGTCACCACCAAAGGCAGTCGCCGCCCTTGTGGATCAGAAGGAGATTTTTCACCATGCGACTAATTTGTCCTCTTTATGGTTTTTAAGTTTCCCTATAAAGCAGATCTTTCATTTTTCGGTTTGTTGATTTGTTGTGTTGTTTTATACTAATGAATCCAGCATTTACAACCGTGGTGCAACATTTATTCAGTCCCCTTGCAGGACTTTATTGCTGCATCAGATGCTGTGATAGACGGTGTATTATTGGCAATGGATAAGGAGTTAGAAAAATGTGACGATATATTGGTGCAGAAAGCAGCCGATTTATTGAAAAACGTAGTGAAAACTATTAGGACGTGAGTCACATTCAACTCATAAAATTATCCGTAAATCGTGTTACGTATACAAGTGTATTGTTTTAATCTGTGTGCAACGTTTTAAACGTAGTGTTACTAAAATTTGTAGTGAGCGAGCAGTTATTGAACGCCTGATCAGACGTGTTGGAGTTCTGCAGAAACTTCACAGTTCCACGAATCTGTTCACATCGCATCATCAGTCGTCAGGGCTGCATAAAAACGGAAACAAATTTGCCAAACTCAACAAGGGTTTCTAGAACTTCCCTGTTTGCCTTTAGTTTTTTTTTATCTTCATTAGTGAAATGCTTTAAGCGTTCCTTTCCTCACTGTTCTGTGTTTTTGCAAGTGGCCTTACCTTTGCATGTGGTTTTACAACGTCTACCGGGACTGCATCCGTTGAAAGTCTTTGAGTTGTGAAAAAATTGGGATTTTCACCATCCTTAGCTTTGGTGCTAGCCCACGCAAGTTCTCACTGTTTTCGTGTATACTCCCTATTTTTAACAGTGATCGATCTCTGGTATTCATATCATAAACTAGTTTAAAATATTTCTACTCTTTGAATTTGTTACACAGTGTTTGTTAGAGCTGTGATAAAATGCATTTACATGATATTGGGTATTTAGGAATTTCAAGGTTCATCCAAGAATTTTATTAAAATATGGATGCATATATCTTTGTGCAGCCATATGAATTGATACCGATGCATATCTTGTAACGGTGTGTGCTGGCTGAAGTTTCTTACTCTAGTTTTCGTGTCTAGTAGTTAGCTCGTCCGACACATATTGACATGAGCGATACGTGAAAAGTGTTTCTGTAAACCTAATATTCTCCAGAAAAATCTTATTCCCAAGAGTTTTTTCGCTCAGAGGGACTGTTTCGGATGAAAAGCGCACTGCGACACTCCCCACCACAAAGACAGTTGCCTTTGACTAGTATACTAAGATATCTTATTGCAAACACACAGAGCGTAGAACACTACTATCTTTGTGCTTCCACGTAGTGCATCTTTGAGAGCGCTACGGGTTTTCAAATCAATTGGACTTAAATGTGCCTGTAAACAGGCGGGACATGAAAGTGTCAGGTGTGGTCATCATGTGTAAAGTCGACGGCCGAAGGCTTACAACACCATGGTTGAACTAGTAGCCAGTCTTTCTCATCACAAAAGAATTTGAAATATTCCGAAAACGTGGAAAGAGACATGAAGGAAAGTAGAAGTTACGTAGGAAATAAAGTATTACGGAACGGGAATAAAATGATAACTGGGAAGCCAAGTGATGGAGCTAAAAACACGAAGAAGGCCATATCATTGTTTGGTCCCACATATTGGAGCGCATGCTTTGATTTCAATGGGTACCACCGCAGCCAAAAGTTAGAATTAGGCTCAGTCGAATGTGGTCGTGAGTATTCAAGTATCATCCTAACCCATTTGAGGCACTGCATGATTTCCGTTATCTGTATCATCGAACTACGGGGTGCATTGAGGTCAATGCGTGTCGTCCAGTATGCATATGGAGAAAGACATGGATTTTATAGTGTATTATCATTGCTACGCGACTGCTATATAGGTTCCAGATGCCGGATAATGCGATGCAAAAATTTCTGGATTGGTGCCTGGACATGGGAATATGTTTTGATGGTCTAGAAATCCGATCCTGCGAGGTAATGTTTTTATGGTCGGTTTTCTTTATAGGATAACGGACCCTACGAATTACATGTGGCTTCCCTTTCATTATGCATTATTACCTGGTTCTGGGAATATTGGTTTTAGTATTTTATATTTTTGTTAATACCAAATATTTCAGACCTCTGGTAACGGCGTGTTCGCTACGAAATTTTTCCGTACAAATGAGAAACTTATCGAATTACCAAGAGAATTGGTAATTACCGCTGGAAAAATCGCCGACTTTGAAATGTATTCGGAACTTCTCTACGAAAAAAAGTTGGTATATCTGGTTTCCTTAGGATCTTTTGAATTTGGACTTAGTCAAGGTTTTAGTGAACTTGATTGAATCTTACATTACCATTTAATTTCAGGTTTTTTCCAACACCGTTCGAACTTCTCACATTATTTTTTTGTATGGAGGATTGTGAATCCTCATTTTACGCTCCTTATATCAACGTACTTCCCAAGGTAACGTGATTTCTGTCTGTGTTTGCTAGCAAATGCTTTTCTTAAAAATTGATTTTTTAAACCGAACTCCTATCCACCACCTCTAACCCTAGCAGTTGACTTTCATCATGTTGATGTGATACAGTTGAATCTCACTCTGATATCCATTGCTGTCAGTTTGCATCCTTCTACGTCATAGTGGTTTTCCTGAAATTCGTAAGCGACCAACGTATTTGGTCTTTAAATAGCGTATTTTTAGGACTCTAACTCTATAGTGATATGAAGTGGCATTTATCTTCTATTTTGAAATCCACTGATAATTTTTATCTTTTTTTATTTATTTCTATTTTATGTTTAGAAGAAAATGTTGAGTCTGTTATGAACATGCCAACCACTTTGGTGTAGAGTATTCATTTATTTAGCCATAATTGAAATAGTGATTGTAATGGCGAGTATAATATCGTTACAATCTGCTACTGATCTTGAATGTTGTCCTGTGTTACTAGCGAGGCCACAATTTTGGCGCCAGAAAATGTTTGCGTTACTCATCGAAATATGCAATAGAAGGTTAAAAAGATAAAGTTCTCGGCGTTGATCAATCCCTTTGGTATGCGCCATGCATTTCACCTCATTAAGCATCGTTGGGGTGACTGAATGCATATCTGGCCTTTACAATAATTCGCCGTGGTCTTCCGATGCATCGAGCCATTGCTGCTATCCTCCCAGACAAGTCTGCTACCAATTTGCAGACTCTGGAAAGTTGAAAGTTGGTGGTCCTGGGTCGAAGTGATCGACCCTGAGCATATTGCAGGATGCCTCTCATTGTTGCGCTACACGCGCCCCTGCTGACAGCACCACATACATTACGAATGGAATTTTATGCAGAGCCACGAAATTTATGAAATCCCTACTTGTACATCCTTTTTTAAGCAAGCGAATTTTTCAGAGCTTTACAACACCGTCTTATATGAATAAGTATATTGATCCCGTTAATTTACCACTATCGGCTCGACAGTACTGGTGCATTCAACAGAAAGATCTTCAAGAGATATGGAAAAGAGTTAGTTTACATCTTATTTCATTTCGAAACCGATATAATGCTTTACTCCTAGATTCACGAGCTCGTGCCAGAAATATCACACAAAAAGTTCCTATGGGCTTGGAATGTTGTGAACACCCGGTGTATCTATGTGGAGAATAAGCCGCACGTAAAAGTGGACAATTCTGCTGGAGGTAAGAGAAAGATCATAAAAAAGGAAACATCAAAACTACGGCCATGAAAGGATCAGTTAATGAGTAGCCTTAAATTGTAAAACGACTAGTCAGTCGGTGAGAAGCTCACTCGAAATAAGTGGTACTGATTAAGCAGTACACCTTAATTTATACAAATCGTCTTTGACAATGAATTTTGTTTAGATACTTTGGCGGTGGTTCCGTTTGTAGATATGCTTAATCACGATCCTTGTGCCAAGGTTCGTTGAGATATTTTATCTATCTGAAAGCACCATTAAGTTTAAGCGAATATTAGCCTAAGGTAGGCACATGTAGCGCAGTTGTTGGAGGCGCCTTGCAATACAAATAGAATCGACCCAGTATCCTAAGCCCACGGAACCCTCTATATCTCCTGAGTCCGAAAATTGCTACCAGAGTTGTCCAGCAGCACTGACCAGATACATTGCTAGGACACCGCGAGTAACTGTGAGGGCCAGATATGCATTCAATCACCTCTAGCTATGCCTGATGAAGTCGAATGCATTGCGCGTCACTCAGAGATTACCAGAGCTTTATATTTTTATCCTTCTACCACCCTAAAACTTTATCACTATAAATTTTTTGCACGTATTCTTAAATTTTTTGACCTTTGAAAACAGTAAGGAAGTGAATGAAAGGAGCGGATGGTGCAGTAGTAGCTAGTGATCTTGTCCATCACGGGGATAGCACAACCCACCTAGGCGCTGGTTTGGCGTTGCACTAGACCAACCAGGGCTCTCATCCACCCGGGGTTGGTAAATCGGTATCTGACCAGTTCTAGGAAAAGCTGGCTTCTCCCACTCCCTACGAGAACACTCCATTACGACTATCTCTGGATTCCAGAGACGTTCTACTCCACCAGCATTCAGCGATATTCGTGACGAAGACGATAAATCCTCAAGGAAGAAACCGAAGCCAAACAAAAAAAAAAATCGAATACCTTTGTAGGTGGCGGATACGAGAAAATGAATCGACTACAAGGAAATGCGCTAGGATCCGCCCAGTGTGATACATGTGGTGTCGGGTCATACAATAAATAGAAAATAAACAAGCAATTGATGAACGTGGGAATGGAGAACATTTGCTGAATACAAGACTCATTCCATAAACACACGTAACCTCCGCTGTTTTGTTCCAGTGTCTCACGACAGCACATCTCGATTCGTGGAACTAAATGTATGTTTAGGACGCACATGGTATGGTGCTGAACGCATTAGCTCCGGGAAAGAATAGTAGCGTGTTTGATCCCCACCGCAGACACCTACGGTCCGGAATTTTGCAAATATCTCAACACCACTATAGATTTTTAGGGTTTAGCCGGGTTCGATAGCTATTCGAACAAATACATAGTACGGTCAACACATTGTGTTCTGGAAGATGAGGAAGTTACTGTGTGTTATGGAGCACACGATAACGCGAGACTATGGATGGAGTACGGATTTACGCTACCAAACAATCCCAATGGAAGAGTTACCATCGAAACTGGTTCGTAAGATGTAACAAAAAGGGATTTTAAAGTATTTACTTGTCCTAAAACAAGAAAGGCAGCTCTGTACGTGCCCTCACTATCCCACCATTTTTCAGCTTTGTTTATCGCATTGGCTAAAAGCGTTGGTGTGACCGTGTCTTCGCAACACGAGGAAGTTCTCCACACTGCCGGTCTCCCATGGTGACGTTCTTAATCATTTTTTAAAGATTAGCTTACAGAATCCAACCATTTCATTGAAAATGTTTTCAACTACCCAGTGATTAGGGGCACGTGTCGCGCAGTGGCCTGAGGCCTGCAGTACACATGGGATCGACCCCAGCTTCCAAGCCCACCAAACCTTCCACCTCTCCGGGGGTCAGCATATTGGTATCGGACTTGTCTGGGAGGGTAGCAGCACTTGCTCGATACATCGCTAGGCCACCACGAGTTATTGTAATGGCCAGATACGCATCCAATCACTTCCAACGGTTCTTAGTGAAGTCGAATGCATGGCGCATTCCTCAGGGATTTTGATCAGCGCTGAGAGCTTTATCCTTCTATCCTTTATCCAGTGAGAAATCGCCAGCTCACTGAATGGACACTTTGGATACACTTCCCTCATGAAAGCATATTCTGTCTGTAGCAAATATGGAAACGAACATTCTAATTTGTCGAAGCGGTTATGAATAAACTCATTGTAGCGAGTTCAATTCGTCACACAGCATACAAAGGTGTTTTACAGCAGCCTGTACCTATCAGACGAAGGGCCCAGCTGGGCCTTAAGAACAAACGCGAAGATTCTTATGCTCTCCTCGCCAGATATGTAAGTCAACTACGGATTACAAAGTCTGATCGTTTACTAGCGACCTCGTGTTCTTCCAGAATACGATGGCGTGAATTAATATACGGCTCCTCAGCATTGCATACGACTGCTGATCGCGATTCAGAGGTTGATTTTAAAGAAACGAGTGAACGTCAACTACTAGAAAAGATAATTATTGAACTGAAGCAGGCCGTTACAGCAAAGCTGACCACGGTTTGTGTGAACGAATGAATGACTGGACTGTACTCCTACCGTTTTCCGTTATGGTTCCTTCAATTTTAGGCGCCTGAAGATACCAAATGGATCTGGCAGGAGCAGCTTGCGACCATTGATGCCACTCTGTCGTATTTCACACATTAAATTTTCTCGATTTTAAGCAAACACACAAACATCTTAAGCAAAGCAAACATAAACAGCCTTCTTTTTATATAAGTTAAACCATTAAAGATCACACAAAACAAACAGTAGGTTAATTTCTTTCGATTTGGAAAGAAAAACGAGGAAAAACGACAGTGCATAACATTACCTCAGATCCGAGATGAATAATAACCCATACAACGCAGAATAGGGGTCGTTCAGAAGCCGAAACTTCGAAACATACCGCCATGTTAAGGAAATCTCACCAGAAATACTCGTCAGCAGGAGGAGAAAGCTATGATACAGCTGGATGAGGTTTGAAGTCTTAACGGAGAACTATGATAACGTAACTTGAACTCGGGGTCAACGGTCCACTGTCAGGTATATGGCAAAGTGGTTATGGCTTGAAGGATCGATTATGACGAAAGTCTATGCTTACAAACATCAGTCATCTTTCGTTTGTCCAAAACAGTTTAAACCTACATGGAATTTAAACGAAAACGCCAGCAACGATGGCCTACCTAGGTTCAACGTGTTAAAAAAAAAACTGGGCGTTCTCGTTCATATACACGGTATTGTAGAAAAAGAAGCTTATGCATGATCAGTTTGACGGCACATATTCAAATGATAATTTTCGGATGTTTCGATTTCTTCATGTATTCTTCCAGTTCGCGATCGAGCTGACTGACCGACTTCTTCGCCAAAGGCGGATAGTGGCCCGCTGGAACCGTTTTCCCACCTCGTCGCCCATTTCCAACGTGACTGCCACGTCCAGTATTGGGGCGGCCCTTGAAGTAACCGCGATTGATGACGCCACGGACATTGTTCCTTTGTCTAAAAAAAATGCGTTTCACTATAATTAAAGAGCAATGGCTGAGAACGAAATGTGTAATACCCAAGAAAATCAATTCACCCCTGATTCTGCTGCAGTCCGCGACCACGACTTCCCCTTCCCTTCTTTTGATTACGTGGGATTGGCACTGGTACATACACAATTTCGGGAGCAGGCGGTAGTGTTACCCGTTCTTCTAAATCACAATATTGTTTCAACATAAATCTGGTGTTGACGTTCACTTGACTAATTTAAGTCAACACTGTAAAGGAAACTAGAAAACATAAAGGCGACCACGTTTTTATCCGAACATCAAGATCCCTGCAATAAGCTATAGCTCAGTCGAAATTGCTGCCCATATTATCAAAGATGCCCAATGCTACTCCTCTTTTTGGGCATTAGAAATCTCGCGCGGAAATCAACAAAAGCACTCTTTCTAATGAGAAATGTTAACAAACCAATAGGACGCTTGTACAGCACAGGAGCTCGTAGACGACGAACCTGCGATGGTGTAACTGGGACATACTCGTCAGCAAAACCTGTCGACACAGGCAGAATTTCATAGACCTTTAAGAACCTTTATAGTCAGCGCGTACTTTATTATTAATGTACTTATTTACCTAAACAAACGTTACAAACGTCACAATAACTTTTAAGCTTTGTAAGGACACTATTTAATCACTATTCCAAACGGTCCATCTTTAAGTCAGAGCTAAAAATCGAAAAAATGCATTCACACTTTTTGGTTAGAAAGACTAGAGTTCTGCACCAAATCTGTATCTAGTTAAAGCAACAACATAATTTTCAAGTATAAAATTTCGAAGACCTTGTTTCCCGCTCGCCGTTCTGACTCCACCCTAAGCCTGGATCCATTCTGAACTTTGAGAATCTATAATTACATATTTTTATCACCACTGAAAGAAATCAATTCCTTTATATCAATTTAATTTGATGTAACCTTCACCACAACGATCCTAAATAACCTAAGCCAAAGATCTTAGAACTTTTCCTATCCCTGGGAATTTACCAATAAATATAACAACCCTATGACAAAGGTCAAACAAAGCGTACCTGTTCTGATCGCATGACGGCTGCTCGTCTAGAGGAAATATTCAGTCCTCTCAATTTTCCTCTCACTGCTCCACGCACTGGTGGCTGAGATTAGAATAATTCACTAAAACCTGCTGGGAAGCACGTCTTTAATCCATCCTAATCATTAACAGTTCTCTTGCTCAAAAAGAAAACATAACAACTAAGCTTCCAAATGGAAACAACTGTGGATCAATTTCAGCATGCACTACTTAGAGAGACCATTAGTGGATTGAAGAACCCTCGAAAGGCCGCAGATGTAACGGTTCTTGTCGAATTACTTTGCTAAAACTTACTTTTTACTGCAAAGAATACTTTCCATACACTGCAGCCTTTGAGTATGAAGCGTGTGTGGCGCAGTGGTTGGAACCGCCCTGTAGTACACGTGGGATTGACTCCCGCGCCCCTGGCCCACCAAGCCCTCGAACCTTCCGGGTCGGCAAATAAGCACCAGACTTATCTAGGAGGATAACAGCACTGGCTCGATACATCGGTATACCACCGCGAGTCACTGTAAAGGCCAAACATGCATTCCCCTCCAATTACCTCCAACGATGTTTAAAGAAGTCGAATGCATGGCGCATCTCGAAGGAATTGATCAACGCCGAGAGTTTCGTCCTTTATTATTTTACATTTTAATCTTTACGCTGCTAGACAGACACTGAACCCCGATTCATCACAACTTAATATCTTGTTTACTTCTAGGACTCTAGGAAACACACCGTCATATTCAGCATTCTCGAACAATGTAGTAGGCCTACTTAACATAGTAACAAGGCATAAAAATATCGAATAATCAGCAAAAACGAAAACATAGCGAAGCGAAGGGGTGGTATCGTCTAACTTATAATTGATGAAGAATCATGTAAGCCTCAAACAATAGCAACCTATGAACTGTCCCTGTTGAGCTGATACGAGGTGGGTATAAGCCGTTACCGTTGTTGTCGTTGCTGTTATTCGACAGCTAACGTTTCGACATTTCGGCGAGTTCGCTTTCCCCAGCGCCTGGACGTATCCCTTCACGACAGTATAAAACACATGCAGGTTCTGAGGATGGCAAAGTCGCCGAAACGTAAGCCATCAAACAACAGCAGCTCACTTTCGAGGTTTAGAACTTGAGGAGAAAAGTTGTACAAGACGAAACAATGGTAGAAGCTGGACACGACGGCAAACGAATTTGAACTTTCGTTACTTTGAAAGTGCTCCACCTACTCCAGAAGAATTCTTGACCAACTCACTAAGGATACCAACTGTAATCTTTTCAATAAGTAGAACGATTAATATGAGCATGTCACTTTTCAGTTCTCGTTTTTATGCCGAAATTCAGCCAAACCACAGCTGCAGAATCGAAAAGAGAGAAAGAAATGATGCAGTAGCATCTACATCCATTCCAAATCAGACTATGGCCCCAGTTTTATACTTCTAATGTGTGAAGTGGTCCACGTTCAACCAAAGAAAATCTTAGCATGCAACCAAACACGTTATGCAGGCTTGTGCGGACCGTCTAATACATGCTCAATATACAAGCTTCCATACTATTACAGCTCTTAATTGATCTATGGTATTAAAAAAAACAACCTCAACTTAAAGACGGATGGTCCACCACCTCGTCGAAATCGTTCAGTACCTCGCTTAAAAGCTCGCCGCTTAATTTAAAATGGGGAAAAACCAGAAGGAACTCTACGCCTAATAATAACTCGTTTTGATAATATAGCGCTGAGAATACGAAGGATCAGCCGGGTTAAACGATTGTTGACATGAATCCCGAAAAGCAAAAGAACAACAGCGCACCCGTTATAAGAGACCACTTAGATACGACTGAGCTCCACAAAGATGACATTCGTAGAAATGGATTGACTTATCTAGATATTAAGCTAGTTGTGTGTACGTCAGAAAGATAACTTGATCAGCGAATTGAGACGATGTGGAAGCCAGATGACAAAGCAGCTTTGTCTGAAACATCTAGAAGAAACAAAACTGCGTCAACTGATCTAATCACGCGAACGAACAGAATCGAATAACGACTACTGCAGACGGGTCACTATCAGGTACTGTTTAACAACACTGAAAATTGGGTGATGAAAACACCTTGTGAAATCCATGAAGAATCTATCAACAAGATACTATTGAGTTCTGTGAAAAGCCATCCGAATAACAGGGTGCTCTTGACGAGCTTGTAAAAGCACCATTTAGAACTTCTAACTTCTCGACCATCTCTGTTGTCATCAAGAGAAATGTTCAATAAACAAATCCTCTCTCGTCAAAAGGACGCATGGAGCCTCTACTGTGGTGTTAAATATGGCACAATTGATAACATAGAGAGTATAGCAGTAACAACTCCTTACGTGCCTATTGGTTTTCCTTGGTTACACCTAGCCAGAATGTCTTCGTCATAGGGAAATTTACTGCCATAAAACATAAAAATTGTTTTTCAAACAGCAAATATACTGACGACGTAAGAGGGGAATCTCATCATACAACAACCAGCCTGCTATCAAGGCCTGCTTCGCCAACGAGTTGGTGCATACCACACTTCCATGGTTGTGGGAATAAGACTGCTCACCTAAACAGGGTCTGAAATGCAGTTAGTTCACAACAACCGTATAACTCAGCATTTCCAGAAACACAGGTTTCTTCCGAAGTTATCGCCACAACTACCTTACGTCCATCGTAAAAAAAAGGATACGTTCACTGCGAGCATCGTCCAGACTCATACTAGCGAGAGAACTTTTAGTCCGAAAAACCTACCACAGCTGTTTTCATTATAAAGGTTAAATGGGACGCTATCAGTTTTGCTTCAGACAACCAGTGTTTCCACAAACCTACTCAAAAAGCAAAAGAACATAACTTATCAGCTAACATGGAAACCAAAAAAAATGTAACGCACCCTGTCAGCAACCTGTCTGTTAGATGAGGCTTTTGGTTTCTGCATTCGTGAGAACCGGAAAATATGGATACACATTTTAACCCTCAACTACGCAACAGACACAAGATATATCTATGACGTAGCATTCAACTTACCTCTGGTGTAAAGACATACTTGAAGTACCGACCATAACGATTTTCGTTGGCACACCATCAACCATCTCCGTATCTGTCATATTTCTGGAACTCAATGAAAGCAAAGAAAGCAGAATAGCAAGCATCAAAACGACTTAATAGGTCAAAAAATGAAGTCATACCCGAAAACCTGATCTAATTAGCTAAAATAAACTTAGACAATCGTACAACCTGTGGGGCACTAGATCAAAATATTTCGCAAACCATAACGTCGTCTTCTTAATCACATTGTCCGCAATCGCAAACAAATACCACGACAGTATCATTTAAATGGAAACTTTTGCACACCGCGTAGTTTGCGATGAGGTACCCTAATTGTTGTTCGCAAAAACTGGGTGAATAGAAGGGATTCTGGTCTTCTCCTTTGTGTTTATAGACAGTTAGTACATAATGATGCTGAGTTACTTGCAAAACTAGGATACCGGGCCAGATCGAACTGTGATTACTCTTTCCGAGGTTTCAGCTTAACATAGCTAAATGCCAATTTGTTCTCCCCAGATTATTCTCGTGGACGAGTGGTTGCCGATGGCACCGTTAGGGTAAAAAACTGGCTGAGAGAGAGGTAAAGCGAGGCTCTCAGTGGCGCAGCTCATAACACGTTAGCCCCTAGAAAACAGTAATAACTGGTTTGAATCTAGCCTAGAGTCCTAATTTTGCAAGTATCTCAGCACCATTGTGGTTGTAATTCATATAATACGTTGCTGTGAAGAATAATGGGAAGTAGATAATAGTTATACTCAGTTGATACATAAAAAATATTAAGATCTCGGCGTTGATCAATCCCTGAGAGATTTGCCATGCATTCGACTTCATTCAGCATCGTTGGAGGTGATTGAATGCATACCTGGCCTTTACAATGACTTGCGGTGGCTTACCGATGCATCGAGCCCTATCCTCCCAGACAATTCTGGTGCCAATTTGCCGACCCCGAAGTGATGGAAGACTTGGTGGGCTGTGGGCGCGGGGATCGATTCCATGTGTGTGTCGCAGTGGCGCCTCCAACCACTGCGCCACACGCGCCCTTTAGTTGATGTATACTAATGGGTAAATCTCTAGAGGTTTGTATCCTACGAACTATCTTCGCTAAGCTTCTTGAGATAAATCAGTTATTACTGCCGAGACTTATTCATTCGTTTTTCGTATGCTATTGTATTCTACTCTATTTTGACCCGTCTTCACGTCTGCTGTGCGGATCCAAGCACGTCTCACATTCGATTCGTTTCCTCGCATCCATTTTTCACGAAGATTTTCTAACTTTACGTCCGGCTTCGGGTGTTCTTTGAGGATTTTAATTTGATTTTGGATGTGGCAGAATACTAGTCGAGCAATTCTCCCTGGAGTCCTGGAATAGCCAGGCTTGAGCGTTTCCAATTGGATTGCAGAGAGTGAATTTTTTCCAGACAAATCTGGTACCTATTTCCAGAATCCCGGAGAGTGGGAGAGTGGGAGGCTTAGTTGACCTAGGGTGGAATCGAACTATCACCGTGCTCATGATGACGCGTACCACTACAACTGTGCTATCCGCCTTCTGTTTTTCGATGTATAACCTCAAAAGTTTGTTGTGCATCGCTGGATGAACCATCCCTCTTGCGTATCTGTGAGCTGCTTCAGAAATCATTTTAAGTCTACTTAAAGCTTAAAAACTTTTCATTTACCGCCTATTGTTTTTCACCATAGGGTATTATATAGAATACAACCACAGTGATGTTGAGATATTGACAAGATTTAGACCCCAGCCAGAGTCGAACCCGCGATTGCACTTTTAGGGGGCTCACATGTTACCGCTGCATCACGGAAGCTGTTGACCTGTTTTTCTATCAGCCAGTCCTTTTACCCTAACGGTGCCATCAGCAATCACCTGTCAACGGGATCGATCTGCGGAGCACAAATCGGAATTGAGCCCAGTTAAGCTGAACTGTAGTCAAAGCCACAATGTATAGCTTTCTATTTACTGCCTATTATTTGTTCCTATCATTGTTCTAGGGGCGCATGGCCCATTGGTCGGAGACGTCCTGAAACACACGCGTGGAATCGATCTCCGTGCACCAAGCCCTCCATCCTTCCGGGGTCGGCCTTTTGGTACCAGACTTGTCTAGGAGGATAGCAGCACTTGCTCGATACATCGGTAGGCTACCGCGAGTCATTGTTAAAGGCTCGATGAAGTCGAATGCATGGCGCATCCCTCAGGGATTGATCAAAACCGAGGGCTTTATCCTTTTTTTATCATTATTGTTCTGTTTAAAAGTTTATTTCTACCCACTATCTGCAAGATCTTAATGAGACAGGTGACGGCATGTTCAACATAGTCTTTGTTTTTTTTCATTGATAAGCTAACACGAGTTTGCGAGGAAAATTTTTATCCCGCTTGCATCTCCACGTCTTCGCCTTCCACAGGGCCGCGTTGATTCGAGTCGATGGTCCACAGTTGGTCGTTTTCGCTTTGTGATTCTCCGTAGTTGTTCGAGGCGAATCTTCTTGTCTCGTGCACCACTCGAATGAAGTATTCTGAATTAGCGAGGTGATTTAAGCAGGACGGTTGTGGATTTGCTGATTTTCCGTCGATGATAATTTCTTTTACTCTGGGCCATCCATCCTGAAGCAGTCAGTATTATATCAGTTGTCATAAAACGAAGTAAAATTTTTCAAAACCTTTTTTTGTTCATAAAGAAAGGACCAAGCTCTTGGCGTTGATCTGTCTCTGAGGGATGCACCATGCATTCGACTTCATTAAGCATCATTCGGAGGTGACCGAGTGCATATCTGAGCTTTACAGTGACACGTGGTGGCCTACCGATGTATCAAACCAGTGCTGGTATCCTACCAGACAACTCTGGTACTAAGTTACTCACCCCGGAGTGATGGAAGGCTCGGTGGTCTATGGGCGCTGGGATCGATTCCTCGTGTGTGTTACAGGACGCCTCCGACCACTGTGCCACACGCGCCCTTCTTTACAATCACCTTCAAACAATGCTTTTTATCCATACTGAAATTAAATGAACGTCGGTGTTTGGAAAGACTACTTTGTAATCTTTGTGTTGGGCTGAGTGTTGGTGGCGCTAGGAAGAACCGAAACCATTTTTAGTTCTCCTGCATAAGGCTTCTTGAGGCTGGAGCAAGGCGATGATCAGATCCCGTCCGACCGCAACAATCCTTTCATCCAGGTTGAGGAATATTTAGAGGACTTTTCTAGAATCAGCTAGCTCCCTGCAATCCTCAAATGCTCGCGACAGCTTGTGATGAAGAACTGCGAACGTTCTCCTAATACGACTATCTTAGGATTCCATGAATAGTAGACTTCGACATTGAACGACATTTATGAAGAAATCCAGTTCCTCAAGCAACAATCAGATCCGCTTGGGAACTCGAAAATTTTCGTGGAATGTAGATGCGAGAAAGCAATTAAAATGCAACTGTTACGATCCGCGTAGTATATGTGAGCTCGGGTCACACAAAATAAGATGAAGTGAAATAAAAATGATCTGTGCGATACACGAAACTCCCTGGCATGAGGAATCTCGATCTGAGTAGTCACGAGGCTGGATGCATCGTTTGAACATGGAATAAAACTATCTAATTGTCTGAAAAAATAGGTAGATTTGGAGGATGAGCCCCGTTTCTCGGCTTTGTCTCTTTAATATATGCTACGTGACCATATTCTTGCCTGTATTCATTGATTTGCCTGCGTGTATATGGATTCTGTTCTGAACATTCAATGAGAGATCCATTTACTCCGTTTGACTAATGAAGTGATTGAGAAGAACATGGAGGCTAGCTAGCAGTCGCTTCGAACAAGCAAGTGGAATGCTTGGTCAAAGAGAGTCCAGTAAGCAACCAGAACAATGCTGAGATATTTGCAAAACTCGGACCCTAAGCCATATTCAAACCCACGATTACCTTCCTGGGGGATCACGCCAGTGCCTCACTGAGGGCCCTCGTTTTGCCTTTTTCTCAGCGGTTTTTGTCCTATTGTATCGATATTGTCATTTCCGGAGAGTAACGCGTTCACTACGATACCATGCGGGTCCTTCGTTTCGCCTGTTTCTCAGCTAGTTCTATCGATAGCGCGTCCGTTCTCCACCTAAGACACCTGCGGTCCAAAGTTTTGCAAATGTCTCGGCAACATTGTGGTTGTATTTCGCTTAGTACCCTACCGTGGAAATTGTAGTAAGCAGGAAATAAAAAAGTAAAACATTGTGATTTCAACTACAGCCTCAGCTTAACTGGGTTCAATGCCGGTATGGGCTCCCCAGATCAATCCCGTTGACGGGTGACTGCTGATGGCGCTGATCGATAGAACTAGCTGAGAGACAGACGCATGCATAGAAGGACCAGCATGGTGTAGTAGTGAACGCGTTACTCCCCGGAAAGGACAATACTGCGTTCGTTCCCCACCTTAGACATCTGCGGCCCAGAGTTTTGCAAATAATGGCTGGAATAGTTTTGTCCTTTTTTTCTGGGGAGAGCTTAAAATTATTAGTACTCGCTTTTTCTCCTTTCCTTCTTTATTCGAAGTCAACGATCCATAACATTACCGCCGAATTACATCGTCAATTATGAAAGGCAAAGCGATAGCATAGTGAAGAAATCTCCTACGAGTTTAGTTCAGTGAAGTAATTTTAATTCTACCAGGTCTTTTGCATACTTTTTTGAACGGTGACGATTCCAGTTGCTGAATAGTGACAAAAACCGAAAATCCCACCCACCTACAAAGGCGCTAAGATATTTGCAAAACCCACATCCAAGGTCAGGTCCGAAACTCCATTACCTTTTCCAAAGGTTCACGTGCTATCCACTGCATCACTGAGGCTCTCGCACTGCTTTCTCTTAACGAGTTTTTCACCCTAACGGTGTCATTATCAATCAACAGTCAACGAGAATGATATGGGCAGCACAAATCCGCATCGAATCCAGTTAAGTTGAGGTTGTAGTCTAGATTACAATGTATACTTCTTACTTACTGCATATTATGTGGTGATGCAGGAGGTAACACGTGAACCCCGGAAAGCTTAATCGATAATCCGAATCTGATCTGTGGTCTGTTTCGTAAATATTTTAGTATCTTGGTACCATTCTGGTTGTATTTCGCTTAATGCCCTGCTTTGAAAAAATAATAGGCGGTAAATAAAGTGTTAAACCTTATTAGCCAATTCTTTTCTGCTACCTTCCTTGCTCCTTATCACCAATTATCGTAACTATCTCATCACACTACTTCAAGCTTAACCAGTATTGTAGTACTGGGAAAACAACCACAACGATGCTGATTCGCAAAACTTGGAGCTCGGGCCAGATCGAACCACGATTTCTCTTTCCGGGGCTCGCGGATTACACATTGCGCCACGGAGGTGTTTGACGCATTGTGTAATGCGCGAGACCACGGAAAGGGAAATCGTAGTTTGATCGGATCGGGTCCAAGTTTTGCGAATATCTTAGCATTGTTGTGGTTGATTTCGCACCATACCCCTCCGTGAAAAAAGTATTAGACAGTAAATAAAAGAAATAGATAAGGCTCTCGGCGTTGATCAATCCCTGCGGGATGCGCTATGCATTTGACTTCATTAAGTATCGTTGGAGGTGATTGAATGCATATCTGGTCTTTTACAATGACTCGCGGTTGCCTACCGACATATCGAGCCAGTGCTGCTATCCTCCCAGACAAGTCTGGTACCAATTCGCCGACCCCGGAAGGATGGAGGGTTTGGTGAGCCATGGGGGCGCGGAGATCGATTCCATGTGTATGCCGTAGTAGCGCCTCCAACCACTGCTCCACACGTGATTGAATTATATAAGATGTTTGTTAGGCAGTGAATAAAGAAGTAAACTAGGAAAGCTCTTATCATGGCACGCCGAAGATGGGAAACAGTTGGAGCGGAATAGCGCTCACGATGATCTTTCATCGCGATTTTCATGGACAGAAACATATTTTTCTCTAGCGACAGGTTCCCAGCATCATTCAGTCACACTGTCACCTACCGTATGCTCTCCTCTGACCGGACACCACACTTCTCTTACTGTGAACTGTCCTAGACGAACAACAACTATAAATATGACTGCACCATAACATGGACGATAGTGTCGGCATTCACGATGACCATTTCTACCTCGTCGAAGCTACACAAATCACAAGACTGCGTCGAATCTGATGTGATCCGCGTAATCTCTGGTGTCAACGTTCGACGATTCGTCTATTTGATTTACGTATTCGTAAGCATCATCTCAACAACTGTTCTTTACCTATTCCCCACAGCGATTGTTATTGTTGGATTTATTATATTACAACTATTGTTATTGCTTTCTATTTATCCATTGGTGAAGTTCGCATTGAAAACGGAAGACTATGATGTCGTCTGGGATCACGAGGGATTCCACTGGTTCCATCAAAGCAACATCGCAGCCAGTGAGCCACCCATTCAACAACCGTATACTGACGGACCATCATCATCACCAACCAACTACTACCTGAGTCATATGTTTATTTAATTCGAAATTTCTTCCTTATCTACAATTTATGCGTGTTTTTGTATTAACTTTGTTTCTATATAGTTAGCTTGTCATGAATATCTATGCTTGTCTTCACATGTAACCCGATCACAAAATGCTGTATCTGTAACTTACATGAACAACTCCAAAACATGTTCCCCACCTTCTAAAAGTTTTCAGTTGGCTCTGGCAAGCCTTGAAGTCCCAGTGAGATCGGAATCACCTGAGATCCACAATTACGAGATCTATATAAATATAGCAACATATTGGAATACGTCTTGCAGTTTTTCAATAAAAGTATTCCTTCTATGAAATGCTGAGATATTTGCAAGACTCCGGACCACAGGTGTATGCAGTGGGGAACGAACACGCGCTGTTGTCCTTACCGGGGAGCACCGCACTTCACCACTACACCATCCGGGTCACCCAAGTTATATTTCATATGAGTTATATTTCGCAACATACCCTGCCATTAAAAAGAAAAAGGCAGTAAATAAAAGAGTTAAGAGTATTCTTTCTATTTCTATTGTATTTGTTGAACGATCAGTGAAATCATACCAATCACAACTCTATACAGTTCTGTTCATTTTAAAACTCTAAGAAGTTCTTTAGCCGGCTTTCTTCAGTGGCCGTCTGTCTCCCTTTCTTCTTTGGATAAGTAGTAGAAGTTATAGCGAACTTTTCCTTCATAAAAGCTAGGCAGTGCTGATCCACTCTGGTACCCCTTAGTCTCTCTACTTAGACCGGAACTGCTTTGGTTATGGCAGTATGACGTGTATTTGGTTGTTTGACACTGTGTATCGTTCACATTGTCAGAGAGGTGATTCTTTTTTGTTACACATTTCGGCATCCATTTTCAGTAAATCGTCGGCTATTGGAGAAAGCATAAGCTTTCGAAAAACGGAATTCGAGCCGCTCTCACAGCTACGAGACGTTCCCCTTTCTGCCGACATATGTTTCCTCATGAAATAAAGGAATACAGTTCTCTTAGTATGTTTCCGTAAGATCTAATTTACTAAAATAACGGCCAATATAAGAGAATAGTGCAAAGTAGCAATTGACTACAGAGTATGTTCCAAGTAAAGCCTATCCACACGTGTCGAAATTATGGATCGATTTCATGGATTAAAAACAAGATATTCAATAGAGAATGTAATGCTCGAATACGGAGTGGATAGGGATATGTTACGGATAGTACGGTAGTGTTTTCCTTAAGAAAGGATGAAGACGCAACTATGAAGGGTACTCCATGCATTGCCTGCATTCCTACCATCATGGTTAGGACTGGACGCATAACGAGCTTGTGCAATAACTTGTGGTAGAATGCCAATGTATACTGATGACCTGTCCCAAAGACCGTCGAAGATTAGGAGGAACCTGGGCCCCAATCGAACTAGTGTGTTGGAAGGCATCTTCAACCAGTGAGCTACATCAAAGAGCTACATCAGACACTTGATAGGACTCAACACGTCTAACGACTTTTAGATGAATTCCACATAAGGTCGATCTACGCGACCAAGGCTCATCAATCCCTTCATCCTTACAGGGTCGGTAAATTAGTACCAAGCTTACTGTCGGCATTGGGCAATGCTTTGCAGCTTATGGGTCACTGTTTCAGCACTTTAGTACCTGCACAATCCATACAATAGCTCTCGTTTACTACAGCAATTAGAACTAAAATAGTAGTCGATTCGCACCCATATTTCTGGAAGGCGAACTCGTTCGTGAAGCGAGTTTTTGCATAATTCTAAGCGTGGGAAACAGCTTTTCCCGACTAACGCCCCAACGCAAAGTCTGCGTTCTGTAAGCTATCAATCGATGGCAAAGGAGTAGGAAGATAGTTTATGTGTTAAAATATACTACTGGAAAGGAAATGAAACCCTTGGGTACCACACCGGCCACTCGCGTAAATCCACTGTGACACCTGTGAGTATCACTCGCCGCCGGAGTGTTAAAACAATTTATAGCAAGTTCATCGCATTTATCTGATTGATGGACATTGATAGGGTTTAGGTGTCTTTTAACTGTTGTCTGGTCACAAAGAGTGATCTTTGAATGTCGAGAACTCGTCAAAACGCATTTTTCACTCAGCAGGGTGCCGTATTCGCCGTTGGTGACACCAGTCATGGCTGAAGGTCGCATTTCACCTAAAAGTTGCGCACAACTGAAAGCCTTTTTCTAATAGAGTTCGCTCAGTTCAAAGTTCCATCAGTGGGATATTTCACAAACCTCACTATATGGCTCGCCATGTTCTTCGTCAACATGAGCAATGAATGGGATTTTCCCTGACCTCAACTGTTCTTTCTTAGAACCGTGAAGTTCGCTAAGCTGATTAGGGATATTCGAGATTACCGAACTCTGTGCAGCTTACAATCTACTTTGACTCTATACGACTCCCTCCTCGCCTACTGCATCGTTCAACATCATTTCCTAGAAATTGGTCATGTCTGAATTGTTATTCGAAGTACACCTGCGACCAACACTAAACATGTGAAAAAGTCGATTATTGATCAGTTCCGATCAAGTTATTGATTAATGATAATCCAAGCATGAAATCATAAGAACACAAATCGAACACTCCATTTTAACGATAACGAACCATGACTCCATTTACTTCCAATTAAACCAGTAAAAATTTGCCATCGAGCACCTCTGTAGTTACCGTATTACTAAAATACCTATATATGTTGTTGCACTGCTCAATTAAATCGAGCTTACCTCAGGAAAATCGCATGTATCGGCCGGAGTGCTGCGCAGACTATGCTTATCTCAAAAGATAGTACTTTATGACATTAGTTCATAGTAGTTATCCGGATATCTCAAACTACTCTAAAAACCGAATTTTATTTAACCTCAGGACAAATGATCAATACCTTCTTGTGTTGTCGACTTGACATAAGGTTTGTATGGAATATTTATTCGACTGGCGTTTCAACGGTTTCGTCTTCATCATAGCCACTTTAATCCTAATCGACATCTCGAACTAGTCATTAGTCTTGACAATCATACTGAAGGATAAATTTCCTAGTGTAAATCACGGCCATCGAAATAGATTGAATAACCCAGGACTGGATCTACTTTTAGAAATGCATAACTTTCAACAGATCCACACAGACAAGAAAACTCGTACCCAAGTGATCTGAGTCACGATACTGTGGAAATCGTTCTATTTCCTACCAACACCTACGAAATTAACTTCACGATCACCTACAAATTCAAAAAGTGTTTAGTTTGTGATCTCGGTTATAAGAATTTACACAGCCAAAAAATAATTTAACAAAATAACAAATAAATATCTGGACACAGCAAATGTATGACCTTTATCGAACCGACTCCCACCTAATCAAAGTGTGAACAATCGATATAATGTTTAGATTGTTAGCTTACACGAGGTTGTTACATAACTTCTATTCGGCTAACGTTTCGACGTCCTCGTCTTCTTCAGATCTGATTGATTCGAGTCGATGGCCCACACTCATATGTTCCTGCGGTGTGGATTTTCGTAGTCGTTTCGAGTTAAATCGCCTTGGGTGGAGCACCGCTCAATGTTTGAGTTAAAGTTATGTGACCATCTCATGTAAGCTGGGCAATCTCAACAAATCTATCACCTTTACCCACGTGTAGTCCATTTAATCACCCAGTAATTCAGACCACTATCCGTTCCCGTCGCGCGTAAGAGTTGCACAGCAGCTTCGTTTGCTCAAGCGATACGGGGCTTATCACGCGTTTGGTTCAAGATCTTTTATTTCTGTTTTCGAGACGTAAGCCATAGTTAGGTCGCAGGGCGTCTCCATCTAATAAACCTACTTCTTTTTGAGCTTCTGGATAGAAATATTTAACTATTCGTCAAATTTGATAAACCAAGTGAGAAGTGAATGGAACACTCTCTTTGTACATTACAGTTCAACACCACGAACCTACTACGGCCACTGTGAGGCAGTGAGTCACTAACGATACTTCACCCGTATCAGCTGTAGCCCCGTTGGTCGTCGAGCGACTCGGGTAAATTTTCCATAGTTCACTGTTGCGTGCAAGAGTGACTCCGTGGGTTCTGCTCGCCCTAGGAACTCGTCGAACATCATATCTTTCTCCTAGACTCTTCATAAACAACTCTGACCATCGCGTCGGTCGGTGGTCTTCCTGCAGTACGTTTGACATCCGGAGGAATCCACTCACTAACGGCTCTTGTTCATCGGTTGTCCTTCATACGCATTACGTGTCCCGCCTACTTTACCTTTGACTGTTCGGCGTATAGAACAGCATCTTCGATTTTTGATCGTTGACGCAGGTCGGAGCTTCGAATCCCTTCACTTACTTGTGTGAAACAGGATACTCCTGGCATCTCTTAACCGTTTTACTTACTGCCTACTATTTTCAATGGCAGGGTATAATGCGAAATATAACTTCAACGATGCTGAGATACAACCACAACGTTGCTGAGATATTTGCAAAACTCTGGACCGCAGGTGTTTATGGTGGGGAACGAACGCGCTATTGTCCTTTCCGGGGAGTAACGCGTTCACCACCACACCATGCGGGTCCTTCGTTTCGCCTGTCTCTCAGCTATTTCTATCGATCTTTTTGCCACAGCAATCACCCGTCAGAGATCGATAGAAGTAGCTGAGAGACAGGCGAAACAAAGGACCCGCATGGTGTGGTGGTGAAAGCGTTACTCCCCGGAAAGGACAATAGCGCGTTCGTTCCCCACCGCAGCCACCTGCGGTGCGGAATTTTGCAAATATCTCAGTATCGTTGAACTTATATTTCGCATTATACCCCGCCATTGAAAATAGTAGGCAATAAGTAAAACGGTTAAGATTGTGATTATAACTAAAACCTCAGCTTAACTGGGTTCATTGCCGATTTGGTCTCCCCAGATCACTCCTAGCATCGTCCTTTCGACTGAGCGTTCGATAACGCTGAGTGACCTTTCATTCTGCTTAAGCAGCGACCAGGTTTCAGACGCATACGTTAGGGCAGGAAGTAGCGTTGAGTCGAAA